GTTCCGCGGATATCATCAAATCTACATGCATGAGGAAGACGCTGAAAAAACCGCCTTCATGACACCCGAAGGTATCTTCTGCTACCTTGTGATGGCCTTCGGCCTCAAGAACTCAGGCGCCACCTACACCCGAATGGTGGCCAGAGTCTTTCAAGCTGTCTTGGGGCGCACTATGGAGGCCTATGTTGACGATATGATTGTCAAGAGCAAGAAGGCCGGCACTCACGCCGAGGACCTCCAGGAAATCTTCGCCATCATGCAAAAATTCAACCTCCGGTTGAATCCAAAGAAATGCACCTTCGGCGTACAAGGTGGAAAGTTCTTGGGCTACATGGTCAGCCGAAGGGGTATTGAGGCCAACCCCGAGAAGATTCAGGCCATCATCAACATGGAGCCTCCACGCAACGTCAAAGAAGTTCAACGGCTGACGGGTCGCCTGGCGGCCCTCAACCGATTCCTCTCTAAGTCAGCCGAGAGGGCCCTCCCCTTCTTCCAAATCATGAGGAAGACGGCGGGTTTTCAATGGACACCTGAGTGTCAAGAGGCCTTCGACGAACTCAAGAATTACATCTCCTCTCCCCCAGTGCTCTCCAAACCAAAGGTGGGGGAGACTTTATACTTATATCTCGGTGTTAGCCCTGCGGCTATCAGCTCAGTACTAATCCGAGAAGAAGACGGCATCCAACATGCCATCTTCTACGTCAGCAAAACCCTCCGGGAGGCCGAACTCAGGTATTCTCCCGTCGAGAAGACGGTGCTAGCCATCGTTTGGACCGTCAAGAAGCTTGGCCACTACTTTCAAGCTCATCCGGTCCAAGTGCTCACTCATCAACCCCTCGGCGCCCTCATGAGGAGTCCCACTAGCTCCTCCCGGATGGTAAAATGGGCCATCTTCCTCAGTCAATACAACATCGATATCCGTCCGAGGCCTGCCATTAAGGGCCAAGCCCTGGCAGACTTCGTAACGGAATGCACCGCAAGATCAGCAACAGACGGGGAGCCTTCGGCACCCCTCGATGAGTGGTGGACACTCTATACCGATGGCTCCTCGGCCACCAAAGCATGCGGAGGAGGAGTAGTTCTGATCACACCCGAAGGCTTCCGCGCCTATTATGCCATCCGCTTCTCCTTCAAAGTATCAAACAATGAAGCCGAATACGAAGCCCTCCTTTGCGGCCTTCGGCTGGCAGCGAATCTGAAGGCTAAGATGATCCACGTCAAGTGTGACTCCAAACTCGTCGTGGGTCAAATTTCCGGGGAGTACGAAGCCAAGGAAGGAAGGATGAAACAATACAAGGAAGCGGCTAAGGAGTTGCTCAAGGTGTTTGAGGCACATTCTCTCACCCAAATACCGAGGGCTCAAAACTCTGAGGCCGACATTCTATCCAAGCTCTCGGATGAATCCCCTGAGCACCTCTCCAAGATTGCAAGAATTGAGGAACTCAGCCTCTCAAGTATCCACGCAAGCCCCGTCATGAACATTAACCTAAGGCCGGAGGATTGGATCTCCGACATCATCGCCTTCATCACCACAGGGCAACTGCCCCAAGACGAAGCCCGCGCCAAGTTAGCAAAGCTGAGGGCTCCCAGCTATACCCTCGAAAACGGGAGGCTTTACAAAAGATCCTACAACGGCACCCTCCTTCGGTGCCTTCACCAAGATGAGGCCGAAGTCGCCATGGAGGAAGTGCACAATGGCACTTGCTCGGCTCACCAGGGACCCTTCTCCATGTCCCGAAGGCTCATAGTTCAGGGCTACTTCTGGCCCACGATGGCTAGAGATTGTGCTGATCTAGCCCGAAGGTGCACCGCTTGCCAACACTTTCAGAAGGCCCCCGGCAGACCTGCGGTCAACTATGCTCCCGTCAGCACCGCCATACCCTTCTCCAGATGGGGTATTGACCTAGTAGGCCCTCTGCCTAGGGGTACCTCCAACAACAGATACATCATTGTGGCCATTGACTACTTCACCAAATGGGTAGAGGCCGAACCCCTCGCCAGCATCACTGAAGCCCGGTGCCGCCACTTTGTTCTCAAAAATATTCTCACAAGGTTTGGCGTCCCCCAACAAATTATCTCCGACAACGGGACTCAATTCGAGGCAGCCCCCTTCTGTGCCCTCCTTGAGGCTTGGGGCATCAAGCACACATTCTCTTCCGTTGCCTACCCTCAGGGTAACGGACAAGTAGAAAATGCCAACCGCACTCTCCTCGAAGGGTTGAAGAAGAAGCTGGAAGCCGAAGGGGGAGGCTGGGTAGAAGAACTCCACAACATTCTATGGGCCTACCGTACCACCCCTCGGCGTGCGACAGGGGAAACACCCTTCTCCCTATGCTATGGCTTTGAGGCTAAGGCTCCAACAGAAGTAACTCTGTCCACCCGAAGGGTTGAAGGATATGAACCCGAAGTCAACGATGCCAACATGGCCCTCGACCTTCATCTCATCACAGAACGCCGAGAGCAAGCTTTTATCAGGGCCGAAAACTATAGGAGACAAGTCAAAGGCTACATCGACGCCAAGGTCCGCTCCCGGGAATTTCAGGTGGGTGACTACGTCCTCCGACGAAGGGAGGCCAGCCTACCCACCGAAGGAGGAAAAATGGCTCCCAAGTTTGAAGGCCCCTACATCATCTCAGCCATCATCAAACCAGGGACATACAAGCTTAAACGCCCCAATGGGACGGAGGTCCCTAGACATTGGAATGTGCACCACCTTGTCAAATTCTATCAATAAGGCATGAGCGGCCAAGCCCTCATCCTCGGCAAGTGTAAATATCAATGGCCCAAGGCCCCATCTGTTTTTGAAGAATAATCAAAAGGCCAAGCCTTCATCACCTACATATTGTACAAGCGGCCCAAGGCCCCCCCTTCTCTCCTACAAATGAGTGGCCAAGCCCTCATCGCTTCACCAAAATAGGCCCAAGGCCTCTCCCTCTCATGAGGGGGAACAACAATTTAGGTACCAAGTACCAAGTGTATGGGTCACCCCCATCACCCTTTGAAAACACCAAGTGTTTTCTCAAACTTTTACATACTCTCCTAAAAAAAAAAAAAAAAAAAAAAAACGGGGGGTGCAATACCCCTCGGCTCCGGCTGGTACCAAGTGCCCCCGGCTATTTGTGTCCCACACACAAATGAAACCCTTCCCAGGAACGCTTTCCGCGCCATCCCCCAAGGGGAGGCAGGCAACGGACCATGTCCCGGGCCCAGGATTCGACTTCCACAAACGAAACGCTCCCCGCGCTATCCCCCAAGGGGAAGCAGGCAACAGACCATGTCTCGGGCTGAGGGGACGACTTTCAAAACCGAGGCACTTTCCGTGCTATCCCCCAAGGGGAAGCAGGCAACAGACGATGTCTCGGGCCGAGGAAACGACCCTCAAACCCTTCGGGATATCGGAAGGTCATTCCCGAAGGGGGAGCCAACGGTTTGTTCCGTTGCCTCCCATATAGGCCAAGCCTTTCCTAGAAACCAAGTTTCTAGATGCCTCTCCTACACCATCAAAAAAAAAAAAAAAAAAAAAAAAAAAAAAAAAGATGTGTAGGGGGGAAGGAACTCCCCGGATACTATTCTCCCCGGAGGCTCAACACTTCGGACATATATTCCCGAAAGCTCCTACAAAGGCACAAGAAAATCTCTCAACAACAAATCATCTGGCTACATAACCGGAGGCGTCGCTACATGAAGCCTTGGAGTACAAGAATCCCCCCGAGGATCTAAAAAGAGGGCTCACTAGGAAAACTACACCTAAATCTGGCTAAGTCCAAAATTTGGCTAAACCTAAGTAAACTATGCCCCATGCCGAGAGCTACGCAAAGTTCCAAGACAAATTACACCTACATCTGCCATCAGTCCGGGGGCTTCACGCCAAAGGCGGAGTGTTACCAAACCCATTCAGTGATGAAGGGGTTTCTAAGCCCACATATTGGAACCTTTCGGAACACACTCATCAAACCGGGGGGCTACTACCACGATCTATTGAACCCCTCGGCTCAAGCAGTTCCCACGCTTGAAGCTTTTAGAGGAATGATTAAGTCCGTGATCTGGGGCCCTTCGGCGAACAACCATGGACTTTACTCAACCTACTGATAGCCGGGTGGCACCCTCAACCTACTCAACAACAAACTAAGCCTACATTGCTGAGGGCTTTGGGTGAATTAGCTTGAAAAACCTCCTAAGTGCACCACTACAAGCCCCCTCGGCTACCCTTCCCTCAAGCCGGAGGCTCTCGCCAAAATCTTTACTTGGAAAATTTTCTAAGTCCTAAAACTGTTGGCATCCGAAGATTACCCCCTGCGTCCTGAAGGCAACCCTAATGGTTCACCTCAAAGTATTTCCAAGGATCCAACATTTCATCCGTTACATCCGAAGGCCTAATGCGCTAGAACCTGGTAATGGTTCCCGTACCGGGGCTGCTCTACTGGCAGAAGGCTGACTATTACCGAAAGCATACAGGGAAACCATGCTTAGAAAAAATTTCTAAGTCCACAATGGTAAAGCCCCGGTGATTCCACATTACAGCCGAAGGCTTTGACCAAATTCCACTTAGAAAAATTTTCTAAGTCCACAACAGCAAGGCCCCGGCGACGCCGGTGATTCTGCACTACAACCGGAGGCCAGACAAAGAAGAGAAACAAACATTCATCCAAGTAAAAGGAGACGTGCATTCATTCATACAATAAATAAGACCGGAGGTATTCATTGGGACAAAGCCCATTCATCACCAAAATGTACAAAGTCAAAAGATGTTTGTTTACAAATATTATGGATCGAGGCCGGAAACTACAAACTATTACAAGATTATACTTGAAGGAATTTCAAACTGGAGCGTTCTCGGCTCCATCCTCCTTCAGCTTCGAGGCAGCGTCCTCCCCGGCTTCCTCTTCATCATCATCAGCCTCCTTCATCAGCTCCGAGTCCTCGAGATCAGGCCTCTCGACGCCCGGGGGGAGGGGAACGCGTGTATCAGGCTGAAGGGGGGGCAACCCATAAGCTGCAGGGTTGAAGTCCTTGGGGTCCACCCCGGAATGCCTGGCAAGCCTCCGGTAGACGAGCCATTGGGTAAAGAACTCACCACCATCGTAGTATTCTTTTCCCTTTCGGGCCAGCCACATCGCACCGGGGCCTCCCACCCAGGCATCAACCGAAGCCTCAACAACGGAGTCTACCCACGGCCTCCGGTCCTCGACTTTCCAACCATCAGCAACAAAGGCAGAAATCGCCTCCTCCCGGGCTTGGAGTACCGCCTCCCTCTGTGCCTCCTCAGCCTTAATGGCGGCGGTCTTGGCGGCCTCGGCGGCGGACGCCTCAGCGGCGGCTCTGCCCTTGGCCTCAGCGGCCTTTAACTTCTGTTCCATCCCCTCGGTCGCCTTCCGAAGGGATTCCTCAAGCTCGGCCATCTTCCTGATGGCTTCCGTGTTCTTCACAACAAGCTTGCGGAGGGCCTCGTCATCTTGCGCCTTCCGGAGGCGCATTTGCTCCACTCTGCGAATGTGCTCCCCGAGCACCACACTGGCCTGCAAACATATAAAACGCAGAAAAGGTCAGAGAAAACGGAGGGAAAACACTGAAGCGGATTCACTTAAGACAAGGACATAGCCGAATACTTACGGTGACGGAGGCGTGGAGAAGCTTGGACTCGATGGCGTCATCCCCAAGGCGGCCGAGGGCGGACCTGTCCAACGGTGGAGTTGCGCCATCAAGGAACTCCCTCGGGTCCATGGTACCGTGGACAATGGCGACCCCCTTCTTGACGGAAAATTGTACATTCTCCCGAGGCCATGTTCCATCAGCCAGCTGAGCCGGGGACTCGGAGGAAGCACGCTCCTCAATCCCGAGGACAGGGACGTCCTTATCAGCAACCCCTTTTTTCTTTTTCTCCGGAGGCAAGACGCCCTTCCCGGTTCTCTTCCTTTTCAGCTCCAAGGCTTGGGAGCCCTCAGCGTCTGCGGCATCCCCCTTCGGGGGCTCTGGGTCCACGCATGTCTGGGCAGCCTCAGCACGCTGGAAGAACTGGTCCACCGGCTTTTGCTTCGGGGGCTCTTCCTTCTTCTTGTCAGCCTTTGCCAGTTGCCTTTTCAACTTGGCAAGATTCTTGGCATCCATATCGGGGCCTGCAAGGGGAGGAGAAACACATAAGGGTGAGATCACAGCAGCAGAATCAAGAGAAGTATGTAAAAACAAAAAATAACTAAGTATGAAAGTCGGGACCCCTCGGTTCCCACCTTCGGCGCTTTCGTACACCCGGTCTATCAGGGGATACTCCCCTGTTGTCTCCCCCGGCAACCGGAACCTACGGAAGCCCAACTTAAAAAGCTCATCCGGGAGCGTGGCAGACTTTATCGCCAGAACTTTATTGGACCCCTCCGGCTTCGCTGTAAGTTTCCTCCCTTTGCTTTCAAGGACAGCACTCCCGACCTTGAGGTGCCTTCTGAAGTGATAACGGAGAGGCTCTGGAAATGGGTTCTCCCCCATTCGTATGTAGCAAAACTTGTCCTTCCAACACTTGTGGGACGAGGGAACCTCTGAGAACAACCTCCAGGCGGGAAGCTGTTGTAGGTTGGCGAATCCCCCGGCATGAGAATGCCCCCCGCGGCATAAGTTGAAGGAGAGAAAGAACTGGTCGAGGGTAGCATCAACCCCGCGGTCTCGGCAGAGCGCAAGAAAGCCAGACAGGTACGAATGGCTGTTGGGCGTCAGTTGGCAAGGAGCCAACCCTAAGAAACGCAGGTACTCCAGCACGAATGGGTGGAGAGGGAACCGAAGGCCCAGCTCCACCGAGAGAACGTGAACCGCAAAGCAACCCTCCGGGGGGCGCAATAGAACGTCATCCGGACCCGGCTCTACCACTTGGGCCGAAGGTCCCACAAGAAACTGCGTCGCCTGATACTCCGCATGAGAGGCTTTTGTTTTGAGTTCAAGGGCGTCTGTATTCAGGTAGGAATGTCCCTCGGGTATGCCGACGGGTTGTCCCGCGTCTGCCGCAGCCTGTTTTTTCTTCGGGGCGGCCCTCATTTTTTTTCTCTTCTTTCCTGGGGCCACACTGAGAGGTTCGGGATCGAGTGGCCGGGAGCTTCCGGCTTCGGCATCATGGCGGGGGGGGCAACACAGCAACGGTGACTCGTTGCCTTTCCTTCTCCTCCTCCTCTTCCGCAACTTGAAGAGCGAGGGCAAGCTCCTCGTCTTCGTTTACCTGCTCGAAATCTTCGGCCTCTAACTCGGCCCGAAGGTCGTTTTGCACTTCCTCCGCCACCACGGAATCATTGCCAACTGACGACTGTACGCTCGACGACTCCACATCCGAGATGCTTTCGGGGCTCACCGACAGCTCCCTCGAGATGTCTTGCGAGTCACTACCGGAGGACATCTTGAACTCTAAGGGTTCTAGCCGAGGGTCTCTACTGTCGCTAACACTGAGTAAAAAAGGGAAAAGGGCAAGCTACACTAGAGAGCTCAAAGCGGAAGGATGGACTGACCTTAGAGAGTGGGTTCAATCGAAGGCTGGAGTTTCTCTCTCTAGAAATTTCGGCAGAGCTCCGCTATGATCTCAAGAACGCGCAAAGGAAGTGAGGTCCAGCCTTGGGGTATTTATAGGCAAATGGGCCTCGATATATGGGCCTCGATTTGAAAAGGGCATCATTACGGGCCGCCGGTTCAACCAATGGATGGTACCCGCCCACCTTCGGCCAACTGGAGCACGCCACGTGGCTCCCACCTCCAACGGCTATATCACAACGGCTCTATTTTAGAAACTCTTGAGGCAACCTTTGACGATAGCCTCCGGCTATTACTAATGAAGCCTTCGGTGAACACATATCACCAAGTACCCTCAGGCAAACTGCAATATAAGCCTCCGGTTATCACTCACCGCAGCCTTCGGGCAACGAATTCCACCAAAACGCCCTCGAGCCCGTAGCAGCATAAGCCTTCGGCTTATCAATGTTACCACCCCTCGGGGGCTCATCAACTCATCATAACTCCTTCAGCCCGACTCGCCTTCGGCCTAAAGGAGTGGGGGACTGGGACACACCCCTCGGGAATCACACATGACCAAAAACAAAAAATTCCCACATACAAGAAACCTACAAAACACATGCAGCCCTCGGGTGCGTACACCATTACACCCTTCGGCAAAGCAAAATGTCAGAAATTTTCCACAGAGTCACTGACAATAATGAAACAGCCTTCATCACAACACATACGGATATTATTTACGCCTCCCTCAGAAAACCCCCGACATGTGAGGGACTGAGGAGAGGCTCCGGCATTCATACAAGTGTTATACTTCCTTCAGAAAACCCTCGGCATGTGAGGGACTGAGGGAAGCCTTCGGCTATCAACAGAAGGCAAATTCTCAAACAAAGGCACCCAAACAGACGATGAAGCCTCCGGAAGAATCTACACTTCTACTCCTTTCCCCTCAAGTACCTTTCGGCAAAAGGAGTGAGGGACTCCTGATGGAATATATGGCCCAGGAACCCCCGGCCCATAGACTCCTACTTCTCCTACACAAGTTCATTGGGCCCAGGGAACAACTCAGGCCCAAAATGCAGCGGCCCAAGCCTCAGCGTGGCCCAGAATACGCACTGGGGTGCCTTCGGCCTCCTTGGCCGAAGGCTCCAAACCTCACAGGGTAGCCTTCTCTGGCATAAGAGGCTACTGGGAGAAGACGGCGAAAAACATGAGCCTTCGGCATTGTCGTGCCCTCGGCATCAGAGAAGCCCCCGGCTAAGCCATGCCTCCGGTCACACAGGGCCTTCGGCTACACAAGGATCCTTGGCTACATGGAGCCCTCGGCAACACAAGGAGCCCTCGGCCAAGCACTCTCAATCATCGAAGATTCCTTTTAGGGACAGCCAACCACCGCATTAAATGCCACGTCACATCCGCCAACCGCATTCAATGCGGTTGACGTACCACTGCCGGTGCCACCAGGCTGATGTGACCCTTCGGCCGTTGGATTACTGACACGTGTCCTCTCATCGCATTTATTGTTGCTATAAATAGCAGCCCATTTCTCCTTGTAACACATCGTCGACACCTCAACTCCACACGCTGAGTTCATTTAATAAATCGACTCTCTCTCCTCCTATTTTGCTCTGACTTCTCTCTAGTTATTCCCGCAATAACCCCTCGGATAAGATACCCCCCGGGTAGATTGTCCATCAAATGCATTACAAATCAATTAACAATTTTATTATTATTATTGTAGTTTTGCATGGACCCGAATAATGTGCACTTCAATTGACCTACAAAGTATTGATACACTATAATTGAAATATAATACACTTGTGACATGTATGTGTGCACCTTGTAAGCATGTCATTAATTACATTTCAATCGGGAAGGCAACCAAACGATTTTTGGAAGATAAATGCGTTTTATATGTATATAAAGGGTGCAGTTATCTTCCAAAAATCATTTGGCTGACTTCCCGATTGAATTTTTTGCTGAAATTTGGTATGAATGTACTAGACTTGATGAAGAACATGCTCAAAACATTTCATCGAACAATTCCACCGGGAAGGCCCTCAAAACGTGGAGGCCGCACGGAGGCTCCGGTAAGGTAGACCTTACCGGAAGAGTTCCCTATATATATATATATATGTGTGTGTATATATATATATATATATATATATATATATAGAATTTGGTTCAAATAAAAAGTACTTCCTAGGTGAAAAATAGGAACTAATCTTGGCCATTTATGTAATAAAATGGGTGGAAGAGATCAATTTTTTAGTTGGAAACGCGGTGGCGTTTTTGTAATTATAGAGAACTTTTTTTGAAAATATTGTGACAAATGTGCATCAGAACTATCAAAAAGTGCACACGTAGAGCACAAAAGTGCAATACGGTACAAAATAAAAAGTACACAAGATGGAAAATTTTGATAATCTTTTTTGACTCGCATGAGTACACTTTTAATCAGTAACTATCCACTTTATAGTATAAACGTTTGCACATTTTTTGAAATCATCTCTTGTGTTTAAAGTTCATCTAATCCATTTTTATCCATCCATTTTCAAGTGATGGAAGGCCAAGATTTATTCTCACTTTTCATGGGAAGACTACTTTTTACTTGAACTCATCCCTATATATATATATATATATATATATATATATATATATATATATATGTATAGGTTTTGGTTCAAATAAGAACACGATCTTATGAGAGAAATGAGAACGAATTTGGACCGTTAGATTTGCTTCAAGTGAAATTCAGTGTGCATTAGATGAAACTGTAATGTGTATTAGGTGAAATTGAAATGTGCATCAAAAAGGGTACGATAGAGTGGCATTATGTGCAGTTGAATTGTGCATTACGTGAAATTGAAATGTGCAGTAGGTGAAACTGAAATGTGCAGAATAAAAAGTACGATGCGATGTTATTTTTGTACATTTATTTTTGCTCATATCAGTTTCATCTAATGCACACTTGAGTTTAAATTTTTATTTTGCACATTTCAATATCATTTAATGCACATTTCAGTTTCACCAAATGCACAATTTGGTTCCACATAATACAATCCAACGGTCCAGATTCGTTCTCATTTTTCTCCTAAGATCTGTTCTTACCGGAACCGCTCCCTATATATATATAGGTAGGGGTGGTTCGGTACGGTATACCTTATATTTTT